TGTTGCCCGCTCACCCTTGGCGTTTCCCTGCACCTCAATCTGGGAGAACTGCTCTTGCCGATCGTTTGCGTCTTGTGTCCTTGACCTAAGAGAGCCTAAAAGTAAACATTACACAGCGTGTGCACGTCCACTTCAGGCTTTCGTGCTTCGTGTGCAGCTGGTAATCTTGCTTTGTTAAGTTCAAACACAGCTGATGATACCAATCCTGGCACCTATCGTACTGGATACCAGAAATCACAACATTCTGGCAAGCCCTATTCCCGCATGTTACGGTTGTACTGGCCAGCCATTATACAAGTGATTCCTTCTTGAATAGGAAAGAGTGTGCGAAACAAAATTCGAAGATTAGCGGTAAAAACTACACGAAAGATCGAATCACACCAATGGAACACACGAAAACGGTAAAAACACTATGGTAAAAACACACCTGTTGGAGAGCTAAGTTCTCCGAATAAAAGTAGACCTTAGTAAATACTAAGATCCAGTAAGTTTGTGAAATAACTAAGGTTATTTCACGACCCAACGCAAATAAAATTGTAAGAAGCAGAGCAGTTCAAAAGTTTTAACCGCGCGGTAACTAGAGTGTGGGTCAAGTTTCGTTCTCAGTGGGTCTCCCGTGGAAGACGCTTAAGCACGTTCACCGCGGATGCGACGCGCCAACTGGATATCCTTAGGCATGATGGTAACGCACTTGGCGTGGATTGCGCAAAGGTTGATGTCTTCGAACAGGCCAACTAGATAAGCCTCACTGGCTTCTTGCAGAGCTGACACGGCCGAGCTCTGGAAGTGCAGGTCAGTCTTGAAGTCCTGAGCGATCTCACGGGTGAGATGTTGGAAAGGCAGTTTGCGAATTAACAATTCCGTGCTTTTCTGGTAGCGACGGATTCCACGGAGCGCGACGGTCCCTGGCCTGTAGCGATGCGGTTTCTTCACACCACCAGTGGCGGGGGCGCTTTTGCGAGCTGCCTTCAGGGCCGGCTGCTTGCGTGGAGCCTTGCCTCCTGTGGATTTGCGGGAAGTTTGCTTTGTAAGAGCCATTTGGACGGAGATTAACACCGAAACGAGGTCAGGTTGCACAGAATTGATAATGGCCACGGCCAATCGAGCGTCCAGATTTTTTCCGGCATTATAATCACAAGATGTGCACCCACCACTGCGATTTGCCTTCAGTACGGCGTCCTTGCTGAAAGGGAAAAGAAAAAGCTCGTCTCCTTTCACCTCATCGGCGAACAAGGGACATGGGTCATGAAGGCCTTCCATATTAAAATAAAGATCCTACTCTGGAAAGAGCTCTAATCATCGCTCATCCAGGGCTCGCTTAAAGGCAGTCATGCTTCCTAAGTCTACTAATTCTTTGGCAACCGATTCCAACTGTTCACTACTACATCCTTTCCAGTTCGAGTCGTGAATGACTGGAACAAACTGCCAAGTAAAGCCATAGCAGCCAACACAGTGGCTTTTTTGATTGTATCCCCGTCAGCAGCCGTTTATGTGCAGTGCGTTTCCAGGGTTCAATAAGCGTCCCAAAGGGAAGCAACACCAAAAGGTATTTGTTCGTCATACCGACATATGCACCGACCAATTGCAGTTTTGATACACAAAAGGACGCTTTCCACGATGAACTCACCGGTCTTATTCGGATGATTGGAAGCTCTGATACAGTTTTACTTACAGGTGACTTCAACGCGCAGGTTGGAAAACTGAGCGCATCAGAAGCTTGTTTAGGCGGTAGTTGTGCTCTGCCCAGCCCACGAACAGAACGGCAATCGGCTTCTTCAGTTCTAGACAGGCCATCATCTGTTCCTTTCAAGCATCAACGTCGACACAGATCTCGACGGACGGCAACGTGGAGGTCTAGTTTATCTGGTACGCTAACTCAAATCGACCACAGCAATAATTTGGCGTGCCTCAGTGCAAAATTGCAGGTCCTGTTGGACCACCTGCTTTAAGTCTGACCACTAATTAGTTTTGATGCAGTTCACTCTTCGACTGACTGGTCGGCGGCAAAACTAGCAAAATCGGNCAAAATCGGATAGTTCATCATCGACTATCTGTTCCAGCAGTTCATGCACTCTGTGAGTCGGAACTAGTGCGTAGACTAAGAGCGCCTCAACGTGGTGATGTAAAGGAGCTGTGGGATCAGATCAGGCGAGCAATGCATTCCGCAGCGAATATTGCTTGTTAGTCTGAGCTTCAAACCCACCGGAAGCATTGGATGTCTCAGGAGTCAGTAGGCCTGATGGAGCAAAAACGGCAGATCCCGACCTGCCAGGATCAAAATAGAGTTAGGTGGCATCTATAAAGGCAGCTCACGAAGAGCCTCAAGAAGGACCGTCAGAACTAGTGGGCAACAATAACTAGGGAAATGGAAGTAGCGGCTGAATCAGGGAATAGTCGAAGACTGTTCCAACTGGTACTCAATACAGGAAGTCGGCAAATCCCAGTTAGTGAAAGAGTTTGCGATAAGAGGGGAGAAGCTATTCGCAGTAGGTATCACCGACTCGATCGCTGAGCAGAA